CTGTCCCCTTCTATATTTAATGTGTTTATGGATAAATGTCGACAGAATGCTGGTGGTGGGTGTATTGATTGGGGGTATAAATGTTCATCCAAATGTGTGCAGATGATGCTGAGAACTTGAATAATTTGTGGCAAATATTAGATAGAATGTACGATGTGTTGTGTCCAAAACTGGCTCACCTAACACAACCAAATCACTTTGAAGATACAACATAATTTTATTTGCATGCATACAAGCAATAATACAGTATATACTGAACCCCCAGCAAAGCTTTGATACTTTGCTGAGTGGCCATGAGCAAAAGGAGAACCAAGGCTTATGTATCTTTGGCCCACTACATTGCAAAGGCAAGACAAAGAAAAAGGCAGACACAGTGGAAATTACAGCATGACAGTGGAGTATGTTAGGCAAACCCATTTATCCCTTCCTACTAGGTCAGCATGCTAGCCATACTACCTTCGAGATATGGTCAGTGAATAGAAACAATCTGGTTTACTGGGCCACCGGTTTCTGGCTGGGTCTTCTCCCTGTCACCACTCAGGGTCACTTCAGCTTGCTGTGACTGTTTTCTTACAAGGGCACTTTAAGCAGTTCATATGTGCAGGTTGGGGGGAGGGACTTATAGGTTTGGTAGTGAATGCGGCTTACATGTGTGCGTAGAAGGGTACCTTTTACCATCACAGATGAAATGAGGAGCCTGGATCTGAAAATTACATTAAAAACTAAGGTAGTTGTGTTTGACTGGGAAAATAATGAACACAGTGAACAATTGTAAGCTACACATAAAACTAAAAGTAGGTGATTTGGTATACCTTGTCAGAATATTTACTAAAAGTGAAAAAATTACTGCAAGGGAGAAAATTTAAGAAATGAAAAGGCTGGTAGAAGGGTAATGGGTAGTATGTGGTCTCAGTAAAGGTGAATATGTGTAGCTCAGGGTTGAACTGTGGAGTCCTTGGGGTTCTCTGAGCTTGGTTCTTTTCTTGCAAACAGTGTGTTCATACAGTTATATATGTTATATGTGATGTGAACAGCATGGTTCATACAATACACTGTTAAGCCAGAATTTGGTTTTAGTTTTGGCTTAATGTTTACTTGTTTCTAAACCATGATTTATGGCTTGTGTATAAATTGTCCAATTAATTGTGTGTTCTTCAGTAAATCATAGTTAAGCATGATGTAGGAAATGGACCAGGACTTAGATTATTTATTTGCTGAAGTTTTATCTATATAGGCCCTAGTTTCTTTACAGAAGTATAGCTTTCAGAGTTTCCTGAAAAAGAATTTATATTTAAATGAACCTCTTGCGGGGCTGATTGGTTTGTGAGAATTCTGTGTTATTTTTCTGGACATTTTTTGGTATTGTTTGTATTCTGCTGTGTTAAATTGATACTTTATGCTGTCCAGAGTCATAATGGAATTAGGCAGCCTATAAATTAAACGAAACACTAAATTTCTAAACCAGTGAATTAAGTTTGACAAATAATGTGGTAGTTTCCAACTGTCTAGATGTTTTCTCTCAAGGCTGTGATTGTGTGATCAAAGTTTTTATTTGTGAAACTGGACACAGTCCCTCTTTGGTGATCTTCTGTACATTATCCTTAGCTTAATTTTTTTCTTTTAAAATTGTCTGGGTTCTGACACACATATACATGACTTTTTGAAAGAAGAAAGGGAAACAGTCCATGCCAATTCATGCTAATCTTTGGGGAAATTAGTATGAGGAGACATAGAAGAAAATAATGACTAGGTAGCTGGTGTGGGTCTTCCGGGCTGTGTGGCCGTGTTCTGGAAGTTTTGTTTCCTAAC